GTAGACATTCAACATTTCGCTACATTTCAACACATGTAACTTGAAAACAAGTGGGTAGGACATCGGACTTAATTTTATTTCACACAATGCCGATGTAGCTAGCACTCGCAAGTACATACAAATCGCCACTAGCAACTGCTACTAGTATTTTTAGCGCTAGCAACTGCCATTTTCGAGCGCTCGCAAATGACACTTTCGAGCGCTCGCAACTGACACATTTTGCTACTTGCTACTCGCAACTCACCACTCGCAACTGGCGTATTTATGCAACCTTACATACCTCTGCTGCCAGAGAAATAGAGACGCAAACACATGCATACATAGCAGTCAGTCAAAACATAATTTCTATTTTTTGGACTTTGTTTGAACAAGAACTGGAAAATAACTGAAATAAAAAGTATACACATATAGGAAGAAATAATAACATATTCAAATACTGAATATTTTATTTATTATTTATTTTTATTTAAATAAATTACATATAGCACAATCAGGGTATTTTTTGGCAAATTAGAATAGCACACATTAAATTGAATCCATACAAACGCAAAATTTGTAAAAACTTTCTCAAGTACAAAAATTATGTATGCCCCCCTCCCCCTCCAAAGGGCACACACCATGGCACTCAATTTGGCACAAAAATAAGTGTTTATCAATTGTTAGAGATTATAAAAATATGGATAAATTATTTTACATAATAAAAATATTTTTGACAATTATGAATGAAAAACTCTGGGGGGCAAATTGATAAACATTTGTGGTAACAAAGTATGAATAAACAAACAGGCAATCCTTTCATACTTACTTTAGTGTAATACACTTAACAAATGAATTCAAAATTTACACAAAAAAACATACACATGGTTCACCACTTTTTAAGCATATTCATTGACATTTAGACATATATTTGTTTAATTTCCTGTTCCTAGTAATTTTGATGTATCATAATTGAGATCGCTGTCCTCAGTAATTTTGACATGTCATAATTGTGTCCTCAGTAATTTTGACATGTGTCATAATTACGTCAGTAATTTTGATGTGTGTCATAATTGTGTCCTCAGTAATTTTGACATGTGTCATAATTGAGATCACTGTCCTCAGTAATTTTGACATGTGTCATAATTACGTCCTCGGTAATTTTGACATGTGTCATAATTGTGTCCTCAGTAATTTTGACATGTGTCATAATTGAGATCACTGTCCTCAGTAATTTTTACATGTGTCATAATTACGTCCTCGGTAATTTTGACATGTGTCATAATTGAGATCGCTATCCTCAGTAATTTTTACATGTGTTATATTTGAAATCGCTATCCTCAGTAATTTTGACATGTGTCATAATTGAGATCGCTATCCTCAGTAATTTTTACATGTGTTATATTTGAAATCGCTATCCTCAGTAATTTTGACATGTGTCATAATTGAGATCGCTATCCTCAGTAATTTTACATGTGTTATATTTGAGTTCACTGTCCTCAGTAATTTTGACATGCCATAATTGTGATCGCTGTCCTCAGTAATTTTGACATGTGTTATATTTGAGATCGCTGTCCTCAGTAATTTTGACATGCCATATTTGAGATCGCTATCCTCAGTAATTTTACATGTGTTATATTCGAGTT